CCCACACTCCCGACCTGCTGTGGCCCCCGAGAACCCAAAACCACCACCCTCGCCCCCGACGAGGACCCCTGGCTCACCAGGTCGGGAGTGTGGGTCCTGGCAGGGGGGGGGGGGGGGCGAGCTGTCCCCACACTGGCCAGGAACATCCCGCCACGTGCGTACGGAACGAACTACGCACGAGCACGTGCACACTGTCGGCGTCAAAAGGGCGCAGCGGCGGATCCAGAATCGGGGGCGCGTCCCGCCCAGCGCATGCCCACTCCGAGGGGGAGGCAGAGCGAGGGCGTGGTGGCAGGCAGCATGCCGCCAGAGAGAACAGCACACGTGATCGTACAGGCATGCAAGCAACTTCGCGCTGGAGCGTGCGCGGCCCATGGGTGAGCGCCACATGTGATAGAAAGAGACGGCGTCAAGAAGTGGAGAGGGAGGAGGGGGAGGAGGAGAAGGAGGAGGAGGAGGAGGAGGAGCAGGAGGAGCAGCGAGGAGACAAAGGAAAGAACCCAAGAAAAAAGAAGAAAAAAAAAAAGTAAAAAGTAAAGCAGGAGAAGGAGCAGGAAGGAGGAGGAGGATGAGGCGGGACGGAAAGGAGGAGGGGATGGAGGAGGTGGAGGAGAAGGACGACGACGACAGGTGCGAGGAGGGGAGGAGGAGTAGGAGGGAGGAGGAGGAGGGAGGGAGGAGGAGGAAGAAGGGGAGGGAGGAGGGAGGGAGGTAGAGGGAGGAGGAAGGGAGGAGGAGGAGGGAGGAGGAGGAAGGGGAGGAGGAGGAGGATGAGGATGAGGAGGCACACATGGCGTGCGGCGAGAGGGGAGAAAAGGGAGGCACCCAGCACGAGAGGGCACAATAGGGCCGGGGCCTCGAGCGGAAAGGGAAGAGGTGAGGGCAGGGGAGGAAGAGGAATGCCGGGCGCGGGGGGCGAGGCCCTGCGGTGGGGAGCGGCACGGGACGGGATGGGGGGGAACGGAGGATAAGAGGGGGGGGGGAGGCGGGGACCAGGGACGACGCGGGACACACGACGGGAGCAGAAGGGAGGCGGAGGAGGGCGCCGCGCCACCTCTTCCCGGAGGTGGGCTGCGACCGCCAGCCACATCTCCGCGGCGCCCCGCGGGGTGGGCTCGAAACCCCACCGCACGAGCACGCGCCCCACGGCCTCTGCGCCAGGAAGCGGCACGCCCCCGGCCAGCCGCCACCCCGCCGCGGCGGGCAGCGGCGCCGCCGGGCGCGCCTCGAGCGGCCCCGGGCAGCCGCTGCGCGCAGCGGCTGCCGAGCTGCTGCTGAGCTGCTGTAGCTCCCAAAGCAACTCGGCCGCGCCGCGCCTCGGGCGGCGAGCAGATCCGTGCATCCGCGCCCCCGTGGCGCGGCTTCTGGGGCAGGCGATGCCGCGGAAGCTGGCGGCGCGCGCGTGGGGCTAGGGGGAGGGGAAGGCTTCCTAGAAGCAGGGGTGTTTCTGGGACGCCTTACCCCCTCCCCCATACCCCCTCCGCGCGTGGCCGAGGATGCGCGGCCGCACGGGTGCGTTTCGCGCGGGGCATCCGCGAAACAGAACGCTCCGTATATCCGCAGGGTCGCGACCCTGGGATACGGCAGCTTCGCGTCGTGTCGACTTCGGCGTGGGTGTCTGACACCGCGGGGATCGTTAAAACTTGAACGATCGGCTGTTTCCGAACGTCCGATCGTGCAACATCGACCGACTCTGGGCCGCCGCCGGTCGACACGACGCGAACCTACCGGCTGTCCTGTGGGGAACATCCGCGCAACAGAACGCCCCGTGTCCGCGGGGTCGCGGGCCCAGGGGCCCCGCCGGCGAGGCCGCGGACCCAAACCGCGAAGCCATGGTAACATCGGCCCCGGGAAATGTCGATGGATTCCCCTGGACTGGTTCTTCATCCCGAGTCGCGTTCTTTGACGGTCCCCGGGCCCAGCGAGGGCCCCCAGATGTCGAAGATGGGCAGAAACCTCCTGTCGTGATCCTGTTCATGACACCTCGGGGTCTGGGGGCACGGATCTGTTTTTCTGTTCTTCGCCCGCGGGCTTCTCCTGGGGTGCACTCTGAACAGAAGTTCGAGGCGAGCCCAGCGGCGGCGACGAGGGCCTCCCATGAGGCCCGGCTAAAACGAGGCAAGGGTATCCGCATGGGTGACCTTCCCTCCTTTGAGCATCCGCGGGGTCGCAACCCAAGTTGGCGGCGCGCACAAGGGCGCAGGAGGGGGGAGGCTTATTGGAAGGAGGCCGTTTCTTGGAAGGCGTCGGCCCTACATCTACAGAGAAGGCCCGCGCCTGCTAAGAAACTTCGGGCGCGGCCTAACCGACCCCCAGCAAACCATCCCCTTTCCGTGACGTCCTCATCACCTTTCGAACCCCCCTCCGGCCGCATGCATACGTCTTGGGGCGAGGCGCGGGGGGCGTCACAAAAAGGGATGGTTTGCTAGGGGTCGGTTAGGCCGCCTTTGAAAGCGGGGTGTTTCTATCTGAGAAGCCCTCCGCCCTCCCACGTGCCCCCCTCTGCGCACGGCTGACCAAGGGCCCAGCCCGCGAGGCCGCGGACAGCCGCCGCCGCCGCCTCCTCCTCCGCCTCCTCTTTCTGATCCTCCTCCTCCTCCTCCTCCTCCTCTTCCCTCCCTCCCTCCTTTCCTCCTCTTCCTCGCTCCTCCGGTGTCCCCTCCTCCTCTCCACGTCCTCCTCCGCCTCGCTACCTCCTCCTCTCGCGCCTCCCCTCTCCACACTCCTGCTTCCTCTACTCCTCCTCCTTTCCCCCCCCTCCTCTCCTTTCCCTCTTTCCTCGCCTACCTTCCTCCTCCTCTGCCTACTCCCTCCTCCTCCCCCCTCCTCCTCTTTCCTCCCTCCTCCTCCTCCTCAATTCCTTTTCCATATACATATTTTCTTCCTGTCGCACCCCGAGGCCAGTTTTTGAGGGCGGGCCCGACGTTTCGCCTTAGACTTCCTCATCACTCATGACTCTGAAACCCAAACTGTGACCACGATTTCACAGATGGAGGGCGGGTCGATTTCAAAATGTGGTTTTCGCCCTAGCGCGGCGCACATTCGTTTTTCAGCATTTGCAAGAGCTTCACGGATTGAGGGCGGGACGTTTTCGAATGTGGCTCTCGCCTCAGCGCGGTGCACATCTGCTTTGAAAATGTTCAAGAGCTTCACGGATTGAGGGCGGGTCGTTTTCGAAATGTGGCTCTCGCCTGAGCGCTGCGCACGTTCGTTTAAAACAAATGCAAGAGTTGCATGGATTGAGGGCGAGTGTTTTTCAAGCTGTGGCTCTTGCCTTAGCGCGGCGTATTTTCGGTTTGCAAGGTTGCAAGGCCTCGACGGATTCAGGGCGCTTCCTTTTCAAATTGTGGCCCTCGCCTTAGCGCCGTGCACACTCGTTGAAAACATTGCAAGAGTTTTACGGATTGAGTGCAACTCCTTTTCAAAATGTTTCTCTCGTCTGAGCGCGGCGCACATTCAAGGAATTGCAAGAGTTTCACGGGTGCCCATCATCAGCGTGCCAGAGAGGGTGTTTTGAAAGGATTCAGGATTATACGGGTGCAGCAGTTATGTTGATTCGCTGCGTTGAAGTCCCAGGAATGGCGTTCTGGCACGATGCAGGATTGCCAAGGCGCAGCAGTCAGTCAGATCATTGGCGTTGGAATCCAGAGAACAACGCTTTGGCATGCTTCAAGGTCTTCAAACGGTTGTCTTCCAACGAAGCGGTCCCTGACATGGGAAAGAACCGTTGTAGGGGCCTGTGAAGAGAGCTTGGAGGAGAGAGTATCCCAACATTGTTGATGGCTAGTTGGTTTACACTGGTCCTCCTCCTCCTCCTCCCTCCTCCCTCCTGGTTCTGGTTCTGGTTCTGGTTGAGGCGCACCCAAAAGGGACGCGTTGGTGCCGAAGCCCCGGGCAAAGGGCAGGCATACGCAGTCCCGAGTAGGGCGCTGACAGTGGGGCAAGTGCCCGGCGCGCGTGCCCGCTCCCAGGGGGGCCGGGGGCCGCTTCATGCGAGACAGTTGTAGGGCCCCCCTGGGAGCCGCGCCTGCCACGCCGCCAAATGGCGGAGCGCATGTGCGCGAGCGCAAGTGCGCGTGTTGCCAA